CAAGAAATATGAATGCATATGTCACCCAAAGGAGATCTTTTTTTTTTTAAGATTTTTTATTTGTTTATTTGGAAGAAAGAGAGACAGAGATAGCAAGAGAGATCACAAGCAGGGAGGAGAGGGAGAAGCAGGCTTCCCACTGAGCAGGGAGCCCCATGTGAGGCTTGATCCCAGGACCCTGGGATCATGACCTGAGCCGAAAGCAGCCGCCTAACCGACTGAGCCACCTAGATGCCCCTCCCAAAAGAGATCTAAAAAATGTTCAAACTACTTTCTTTATAATTGACAAACATGAGACAAGCCAAATATCCACCCAAAGAGGACTAGAATTTCTCAAGAGTAGCAATGTTGACATTTCAGACCAAATAATTCTATGTTGTGGAAACTATCTCGTGTATTGTAGGATGTTTAGCAGTACCCTTGGCCTTTTATCCATTAGGTGTCATTAGTAACCCCACCATTAGTGACAATCAAAAATATCTTCAGACATTGCCACACATACCCTGAGCAGGGGAAATTACCTCTTTTGAGAACCTCTAAAATAAACAAAGATAGCATAGTCACCCACTGGACTATTACTCAGCAATAAAAAGGAATGTACTATTATAAACATAACAACATGTATGAATGGAAAACAAAGCAGTATGCTGGTAAACGTTTAATTGCTCTCTGAGATGGGGTGAGGAGAGGCTGATATGTAGCCTTTGCTACAATCTCCATGGCTTCCATAACTATTTTTTTTCCATAACTATTGTAAAAGCAAGCTTTTTAGTGGCATCAGAGTTATGTTTTTAGGGACAACATTTCTAATAATTAGCCTATCCCAAAATATTTGGAAAGGTGGCATACCTTCATTACTAAGTTCACAGGTACTGTGTGACAATTTACTGAGGATATTACATAGAAACTTATGAATCCATAAACTTTGGGGTCTTCTAATTTTGAAATTTTGTAATACGTAACATTTGTCTTCAGTATCCACTGCTTGTTTCCTGTTTATGAAACTAAATGGACCTAAACTTTTAGTGATATATATTTTTAAACATGTTCTCTTTATATTTATTTGTAAATTCAATACGTATCTTTTTCTCTCAAAAGAAATTACTGTATATTTTCACAAAAGACATTTATTTATATACCTATATGTGTGCAAAAGAGGCCTTTTGTACTTACAACTAAGTAAAGGTCACAGGAGGAAAGGGCCTCATTTAGAAGCCAAAGATAACATTGAGACCATGTTAATTATTTTTTCTTGAGGCTGTGGTGCTGGATTGCTGATAATAAGGATGTAAACGGTGACACCGGATTCTACTATACTTCTACTAGAGATGCACTAACAATAGTAATAAACAGTGACACCGGATTCTACTATACTTCTACTAGAGATGCACTAACAATACTAATAAAGGATTCAAGAAAGGTAACAGCTTTTGACCCTAAAACATTTGGCATCAGTTGGTACCTCAAGCTGAAAGGTCAATAAGCCAATGAAAATTCTGTCATATGGGTATTCTGTTTAGATTTTAAGTAAATATCACGTGTGAATTCTTGACATTTGGCCTTCACTTTTCATGTCCAGTTTACTACTTTTTTCCTCCGCAGACTTAAGATGGATGCTGCTTAAAACCCTGCTTAATCACTAAAGAATTATTTAGCAGATTTTGGGATTTGGAAGGTTCCCGGATTGAGGCTTTAGTACCTACCTCATAAACAGTCAATGAAGCTACCAAAGTTAATTTGCAAACTGAGGGTTCTTTTGTTACATAACCTCACATAATGTCAGTCAGTAATTAGGTGGAAATCCCTCTCGATAAACTACATTCATTCACATCACACCATGTACGATTTCTTAGAAAACAAAGGAAATATTGGGCTCCACCCTTTTCTTCTTATTAGTTGGAGAACATAAATTAAATTAACATTAGTAAAATAGACTTGTGAATGACCTTTGAACATCTATGTTATATCCTTCAGTAGAATTAAAAATATTTAATTTCAAAAGTATTTCACAAAAGTTCTTTATTTTCATATACCTTAATCTTTAAATTCCACTAACGTCCTCATCAGTCTCCCCAGGTAATTAGCCTCTTGTGCACTGAATAACAATGCACAATATTTTTATTTTTTTAATTTTAAATATATTTTTATAATTAAAAAATACTGAATACAAGAAAATATTTTATATAATTCACCAATAAATCAAAACATAAGAAAAAGTCTGATGGTTTTGATTACACTGAAGTAAAAATATCTTTATTAGAAAGGACACCATAATCAGAATGAAAACTAGGAGGAAAAAACTGCAAAGCAAAAAATTCTCATAAATCTAATAGCAACTGGCCATTGCTATTTCCAAATTGGCTTTCAATTCTAATATTTCATTTTATATTCACCAATATCATATGAGAATGTGTTTAAGTCCTCACATTATTGAATAGTCTCAAATTTTAAAATTTTTGTCAATCCAGTAAATGTTAACAGACATTTTAAGCACGCATAAAATTAGGTCTTTTCACCTTTTATTTGGCATCTGTCCCTTATCTCTATGAACTATTTGTTCACTTTGAGGTTTTAATTTCATGATCTCTCCTGATGTACCTTTTGTTTCTAGATTAATAAAAAGCTATAATTTGCGATGAAGTATACATTACAGATATAATTGTAAACAAGATGCATAGTTCAATAAGTATATTATTGGGAAAATTTTTAGAATTTGAATTTTATCTGAATTAAAGGTAAATTATATATATATATTTTACTGTTCTTTAATTTTTTTCTGTAATTTTGAAATGAATTTGAAATAAATAGTAAAAAAGGAAAGCAACAATGCAAAATGTTTTTAAAAGGAAGGAAATTGACATTGGTCTGGAAGTAACACTTAATATATATATATAGATGTTTAAAGGTCTCAGCTACAGCAAAGCTGTTTGTTGTGTCATGAGAGCAAAGCGTCAGCCCCTTCCAAATAAGGGAACATAGATTATTATACTTGGTTATAGATGTGACAGCATGCCCTTGATATGTGTTCAGAGTACCATACTATAGCTGTAGTGAATAGACTTATTTCTTTGAAAAACTTAGCGCCAGGTGATAAGAAATCTTATTTCATGTAACTTATTAGGCATTGTAAATATTAATTTGTACCTTTGCCATGGCATGCCTAACATAGTTATTTAGCATTTCTTCAAACTTTGTAAAGCTCATAATATTAAAGTCATCTCAAAACATTCTCAAAGATATGAAATGCATTGAACTTTCTTATAACTCAGACCTAAATGCAATTTGCTTTATTCGGGGTCTTTCTGCCTCACTTCTTCAGAATATGACCATAATCTCCCATAATTATGAAGTATTTCATACATTGAGCAAGTTTTACAGCCCACTAAAAAGCTAATTAATGTTAAGTTCAAATTGGTTCTCTTACACTGACATTGCTATGAGTAGTTGGCTTGGCTCAAATATAAAGTGCACTTTCCTTTTTGACCTTATATAACTGAATGCAAGGGTAGCTCATTAAGGGAATTTTAGCATTCTACTCGCATGGATATATTACTAATGCTTGGCTTTCAGTGGCAAAAAGGAAAGTGGGGGCAGGGGGGCAAAACAGTCAAAGTTCAGACAAGGTCAAACACCACATGCAGTTTAATGTCTCTCTTAGTTTGCTCTTGACATTGGGCAGGAAGCAACTCTGGAAGTCAGATGTCATAAAGGAAAGTGCTTATACTTTCTTCCCTGTACTAATCTTTCTAATTTTGGTCTCAGTGCATTCAACCTAAGGTTATTTAACCTTACTGAGAATTTAGACAAAGCAGTATTCTTGCTGTGCCTTCTAAAGAAATGTATTTAAGTGTATAAACACACACACACACATATATAAAATACATCTCATGGCCCTTCAAATCCTCCAGGTCCCAGCCCTTCTTCCAGCCTATTCCTGCTTACCACTTCTTCACAGGCTCTGACCAGCTTTGTGAAGATATATTGGAAAGCCCTTTGCCTCATACTATTGCCCTGTATTTCTTCTGTCCTCCTCTAGGATGCACAGGTTACCTAGAACCATGAGGAGTTAACATCCATGAAACCACTCTACTTAATGAGGATAAATGATTCTCCTTTCCTTCCAGCTGCAGGGAGTCCTGAGCTAATATCGTTAAGACTCCTCAGGAGGTCCACCTGGATAGAGCTCATGTGGCCAGTAGCAAATGCCAACTTAATATTGCCTCCTTGGATGGTTTTCTCGTTCCCCTGTTTTGTTTTGTTGTTTCCTTAACTTCTGCTCCCTGGGATCATTTTCCAAATAAACTGCCTACATGTTAAACTTTCCCTCGGTCATAGCTTTCAGGAATTGCAGACAAGACATAGAGTAATGGACATACGGAGAGATTTTATTAAATATAATTATCTTGTACTTTATTGTCTGACAAATATTCTGAAAGTCGTTTCTATGTTTGTTTGTTTTTTTTAATTCCACTGAATGGTAATTTTTTCAAGTAAAGGACTAATATACCAATGTCAACATTTTTTAACAGGTATGAATATTTAAAATAAATATCTTCTTAGCATCCTAGGTTCTAAAATTTTGCCTGCATGTGAATCTAAGAAATGCCATTTGCTAGAGGTATGACTTTGGCAAGTTGTTAATGTCTCTGAGCCTCTGTTTCCTCATTTGTAAAATGGGGACAGTAATAGCATACTAGAAAGTTATACAACAGTAGTCCCCCCTTATCCACAGGGCGTATGTTCCAAAACCTCCAGTGGATGTCTGAAACTGCAGATAGTACTGAATCGTATATATGTTTTTTTCTATACATTGATACCTATGATAAAGTTTAATTTGTGAATTAGGCACAGTAAGAGATTAACAATAATAAATAATAAAAAAGAAGAATTATAACAATACACTGTAATAAAAGTTATGTGAATGTGATCTGTCTCTCAAAATATCTTCTTGTACTGTACTCACCCTTCTTTTGATGATGTGAGGTGATAAAATGCCCATGTGACGAGATGAAGTGAGGTGAATGATTTAGGTGTCATGACAGAGGGTTAGGCTCCCAGTGACCTTCTGATGATACGTCAGAGGAGGATCACCTGCTTCCAGATCGCTGTTGACCATGGGTAAATGAAACTGCAGAAGGCAAAGGAGAGAACTGCTGTAGTGGCGTAGTAAATAATGAAGTGCATTATACAGCCCTTGTTGCATAAAAACCAATCCCACACTGAGTGGCTTAAAATAGTAACCATTCAGTTTGCTCAGGATTCTGCAACCTGGGCTGGATTCAGCAAAACATTTCTTCTGCTGCTCTCTCTTGGGATCATTCATTAAATTCATAATGTATTCATCCAGGGGTTGCAAAGTTGGATAGTTCAAGATGGCCCTACTCACATCTGTGGTGGACCACTGGAGTTTCTTACATTGAGGTAAGCAGCATTTTAAATGAGAGAGTGGAAACTATAAAAGCACCTTGAGGCTGAGGCTGAGAAGTAACAAAAATGTTATTTCTGCCACTTTCTATTGCTCATAGGAAATCACAGGGATTGGAAGGAGAGAGTAAACTCCACATCTTAAAGAGAGAAGCAACAAATAATATGTGGCCATTTTTTAAGGTATCCCCCTCTGGGCTAGTGTTTATAAAAAGCTAAGAACAGTACCTGGCACATAGTCTCTACTATTAAAAAAAACAAAAAACAAAAAAAAAACACACAACTATTTCCACTAAATTTTTTACTACCGTTTTATAAAAGAGCATTTTTCTTAAAATACAGGAAATTCATTATCTAAAAGAATAATTCTTTCTATTTAATAAATGTGAAAACTGAGTATCTTTCCTTATCTCATTTCACACAAAATATTAAGTACATATTTATAGATACATATGTATATGTGTATACACACACACACACACACACACACACACAACTAAGACTAGTCCCAGCACCAGTGTTTAGTAATTACTGGTCAAAAGCATCATTTTTCCTCTTAAAATCCAGTCCTACGGAGTCCAGTTTGCCTAGTTTTTGAACAAAAGTTCTTATCACAACATGGCCATTCCCAGGATCCGCATATAATTTTCTGCCTCATCAGACCTAGAGTGGCCAAATATAACAAGAGCACATCTATTCTGCTTGGGAATAGAAATAAATTACAGGGTTGGAATTGTGTGGTTCCCTGTTCTGCAAAGGTTCCTGAGCTTCCTGTGTGAGTTCGGACATAACAATTCTAGTGATGAGCATAAGACACGTAAGCTTTTGCTTCAGAACACACTGTCAAATGTCAAGCTCCATTCTTCTTCTGAGTTCTTGCTTCTCTCCTCAGTGTAAGAATAACATCTTTCTTGGATGGTTTTAAATAATGGATGATAAAATTATGTATATATTGTAGATGAATAGGATTGACTATGCAAAAGATTGACTCTAAACAGCAATAAAAATCCGCCAGACACTCTAATTCCTATCCTAACATTGTGTATCTTGTGACCGTGGTAGGAATCAGTTAAAATCTTGTATAATCTAAAGAACCCACCTTTCAATTATTTATGATTCAGAATTTTTCCAGGGCACCTGTATCTGCCTTCCAAAATTGATAGAAAGCTGATAACATGCAAACTCCAAATAATATGTGCCTAATTACCTGGTTCTTGCAAAAGAAACTAGAAGGATCATATGACTCTAACACCAAATCAGCTCTGATACTACCTAAATTACACTACAATTTTTACTTTGAGTGCTTATATAGCAAGACTTGCTTATCCAAAAAGTTGGACTCGGTGAAAAGTGTTTAGAATTCCTGGTTTTTTAATTACCCTTATTTCATCTGGTATATATTTTCAAAATTTATAGAAAAGCATCTGGGTCAGATTTTTCCAAGTGTAATTTGTATTGATGAGGGAATTTTTTTAATATTTAGGAAATTTTTTTCAAATAATACCTATTTTTTTGTGTCTTAGCAGAGACAACTGGGAAAAGAAAGAGCTAGCAATTCAAATCATTGAAACACTCAGGTTAAGAAATCCAGCGATTTACAAATTATTCCTGGTTATCAATAGTAAGGTCTTACTTGGGTGTTAGTCATTGAAAAAAAATTTTGTTGTAACTTTGTGTTATTTTTCAAACATCATTACCAAGGTAGGACAAGTCATTTATATCATGAATAGTCACATGGTCTTATGTAAGAAAGGTGAACAGATGTAAATGCAGGTGGATAGCAGAGGATTAAAAAGAAAATTCACCAATTCACCACGTTGGCATTTCTATCTAACAACCTTTCAACTACTTATGTAAATGTTCTTGGAACAGAAGGTGGTTTAAATTTGAGGAGGAAAAAAGCCACATGAAGATGGTTGCACTGTTTTTGAGAGAATTTGTTTTCCTCGCCGGGCTTACTCAGGAATAAAATGTTTCCTTCTAAATATGGAGGTTTTTAAAGGAAAAGAAAGGATCCTTTACAAGATGACTGGAGACAAAGAATAAAATACCACCATAAGAAGCAAAGTTATAGTGGGAGCAGATGACTGTGGGATAGAAAAGCAAGGAATGGAAGTGAATCGTAAGTTGTATAGAAGAATAAGAGAGTAGCCTATAAGAGAGAGAGTGCAGAAGGGGTGGAAATCAGGAAAAAATGAACCTGGAGGCCTATGTTGCAGGTGTAAGAAAACCTTAGAAATAGTGGCGATAATAGAACAGTGAGATATTTGTGGAAGCAGCATTTAAGCCCTCTGAAACAAGCCAAGAGGAAAGACTACGGATAAATCAAGACAGTTTTTGAGGGACCATACCACAGTCCCAGTGAGCAGCATTTGGAGGCCAAAATTTAACTCACCCCTGAGTACTTCTGTAATTGGATTTGGAATATTTGCAGTGGTAAATAGTCTACTAAAAATATTGACTGGAAGAATGGTGCAAAATGGAAAGCCCTAGGAATGTGCAATATGACCCAAAAAACTGGGGCTTAAATTCCAGTTCTAGTTCCTAATAACAATGTGACCCTGGGCAAATTATTTCAACTTTATGCACCTCAATTTCCTTATCTGTGAAATGACATTTTAACTGTCTCATTCTGTTGTGAGTAAAATTATTAAGTCTAGTAAATTGAAATAATTAGAGATGCCCTATCTGGGCACTGCTTGGAGGAGAAATACTTACTCTTGAGGAAATATAATATTCCTTCAAATCAGTACTGTGTTGTCCATCACTGTAGATTTCATCTTCCCTCTTATTTCTTAAAATTAGGAAAGTTTAAATAAAATGATGGAAGGGACTGAATCTAATATCATCATTAGAGTATTTAAATTTGAGGAATAATTTTATCACAGAATTTAAAATAGATTTTTAGGAATGCTAGGCAAGAAACTAAGTCTTTATTCCTTTTATAGTTCAGACTATAATACAGCAATTTGCTCTTTTATTTTCTCTGTTTTATGCAGTATTCTTAAAAGGCAAGTGAGCATTAAAATCCTATTAAATAGCTGCATAATTAATTTTGAAGCTTATATCCCACTTTCTACTATAAAACTTTTGGAATATAGTGCCTTAAAATAATTAGAAAAAGACATGTTTTTCCAAATTCATAAACCAAATGTTAACCTAATGAGTTTCTTAGGGTTTTGGTTTTCCTTTGAGTCATCAACATTGAATAATCAAGCTCAGAGATTTTCCTACAAGAGAAGTTACTTTTGTTTTTCTTTACTCACCACCCACTCCACAGCCCTTCCAGCTGAGAAAAGAAGAAACTTTAGAACAACTTCTATACTGTTTATTCATCCATAGTGGAATTTTGGTAATTCAGGAAAGGCACAGGTGAAAACTATTGGGTTGTGATATGATCAGATCTCTATTTTGGGGCTGTCACTCTTGGCAGTCCTCGGGATATATTACACTGGTGTGAAGATGGGTAAAAGGGGCCAGAAAAGAAATGACACAATAGCTCAGGTGGCAGACAGACTAAATGATGAGATCATTCAAAGCATGAGCAGCATATTACTCAGCCTTGTATTTCCTTGTACACAATCAATATAACAGTTCTTGCATTAATGTAATTAAAGACTGAACTAGAACTACTTGAGTGGGATTGCAAAGAATCTGAGATTTAAGAAATGGTAGATTGCTTGCCAAGCAGCATCGGAAAAAACGATTGGCTCATCAAATGATAAGACAGTTGATTATGAAGCTTCAGGAACATATAACTAGGAGAATCAAGTGAATGAAGAGACCAAGTTTAAGAAAAAATGGAAAAGTAGGAGCAAGTTTGGGTATGGAGAATGAACTATTTTTACAGGTTGAATTTGAGGCACCAAGACATTGAACGAAAGTGTCTAGCACTGGGAATGGGGAAAAGGTTAAGACTGCACAAATGTCCTTACAAAGTTAATTTATCTAGAGCTAGTTAGTGACTTAAGCTTCTTTGATCTGACTCAATGCTCTTGAACAATCTCCTCAAATGTCTTGGGATTAATTTCCCTGTTATCATGATTAGTTTCAGACTACCAGTTCTTAAGAGAGAAGTTGAAAGAAAAATGGGAACTTATTCTCAAACAATGTAATGTGTGGATGGCCCTAAGCCACAGAACTTTCCCTTCTGTGTTCTTCTTGTACTACATCCAAAATATAAATATGATGTTCTTTTCCTGTTTGGCACTTTCAAATGTCTCACTCAAATATAAAAAACCCAACTCTACTGTATATTCCACTAGTGATTTTTATGAACTATAAAGGGTCCACTTTTCCCAAGTTTCTAACACTTCTACTTCCTCAATTACCCTTTATTAGTTAAAATAAATTATAGCAGCAATATCATTCTCGTGACTTCCCCTATTTTCTAAGATAATTTTCTCTGAAAGATGAGTCCTTCGATTTCTGCTTTTGCTACATGTAAATTCCAGTAGATACCTACTGTGCCGTACGGGATATTATTTAAGAGCATCATCTTGGGAGCTAGATTGTCTGGGTTCAAACTTTGATTCCATCCTTTGCTTAGCAAGTTGGTACTAGAAATTATGCAACCTTCCAGAGTGTCAGTTTTTTCTTCTCTACCTGAGTATAGCAATAACTCTTATTCCATAAAGTTTTGTGCTGTATATCTTATGTTTGCCCACCAGATTCCCCTCTTTACTTATCCTTAATCTACTCTGTGCTTAGAGAGGCTTACTAATATGAACCAAATCATTGAGGTCTCTTGCCTTCTACCTTAGACCAGAGATATAGATGGTGGGGGTGTGATGTAGGCACATTTATCTTCCTCTCTTTTTTCCAGGTTACTGTAGATTGGCTACAGTCACATATCAAAGACCACAGCTCCTGGTTGGCAACCCTCTTCATATAGTTACATATACCAAGTCCAAGCAACTCCATTTGCCCCTTCAGACCTAGAGAGGGTAAGTCCCCCCGCCATGCAAGCCCTTCATGAAGTAGATTCAACTATCCTTACATTACCCGTTCTGAGTATGCTATTACATTCCTGTTGGCACCCAGAAAGTAATTGAATGGATTAAATGAGGCAATATATGTCAAGTGCCTGGCACAGGGTAAGTTCTATACAAAGTGTTAGGTATTATTAGTATTCCTGGGTATCTAAAGTGCTTCTGACATAATTACAACTGTCATTTATGTAGAATGGATAAGTTTCTCAATGTTTAACATAAAATAAGTATTTTAATACTATAACCTGATGAGGTAGCTTCTATTATTATACTTTACCAACAGGGAAACCAAGGAACAGAGATACTAAGTCACTTGCCAAAGAACATACCCCTAGTACATGGGCAAACCAGAATTTAACTTGTGAGTCAGGCTTCAAAGTAATTTCTCTTAATGCTGTCTATTTTGTTCCATCTATATCCTCTATGGAGCCAGTAATTCTGCCAAGATCAGAGTGCTGGTTATAGCAACCCCCTCCCCATTTCCCGGTCACAAGTGGGAAATGCCCCACTAGTGGTCAAGCCCCAGAGATGGCCCTGGGATTCCTGTGGGATGAGAGTGGAGTCAGAACTCCCAACAAGTAACCCACAACACTGGGGAAGATGGATATTTACCCTTGGCTCTCTTTACCCACTGAAGCACCTGTAAGCACAGAGAAGACCTCAGCCTGGGCAAGGGGCAATGTGGTCAGGTATAACTTCTCGTCTTACCTTTCTTTTTTCTTTTTTTAAAAGATTTTATTTATTTGAGAGAGACAGAGAGCATAAGCAGGAGTAGGGGCAGAGGGAGAGGGACAAGCAGAATCCCTGCTGAGTGGGGAGCCTGATATGGGGCAACAGAGGGCAACCCAGAGGGACTGGGGGCAACATGGGGCTCAATCCCATAAGCCTGAGATCATGACCTGAGCCAAGTCAGACACTTAACCAACTGAGCCACCCAGCACCCCCTCCCCCCCTGCTTACCTTTCTAATGTAGTCTGTCTTGGTCTCTGTGTAACAGGAGGATGCTTCAGCCTCACCGCCATGTTCTAGGATTCTCTCAGTGGTATCCATGAATAGTTGTTCCTTGTTGTCCACCTAAAGGGGAGCCAATTCAGGAAAGAACAATGTCTCCCACCATGTTGATGATATCACTCCCTTCTGAGACAGTCATTCTGAAGTCTATTTTCACTCTGAGTGTCTTTAGTATCACTCTGTTCCTTTCTTCATTTATCTCCACACAAAAATAAACAAAAATACCTTTTTTTTGTTTCCATGCATCCTCAGAGTTGATATTTGGTATATTTATCTGATATAAAATTTCTTGACCAAATTCTAGATTATCATGCCTTCTAAAAAAACAGTTGACATGAATGTATTCATACATGCACAGTACACCAAAGAATAGAAGAAAGATTAAGAATTTTAAGCTCATGTTTTAGTGATGGAGCTTGAACATGAACAAAACAAAAATCATATAACCTTAAATGGTGTTAGTACAGAAAAAAAGAGATAGTTATTGGGTTAACTCAAGCATCTTAGAGAAAAATATTGGAAAGAAATCTCCAAGTGCAGAGCACTTCTTGCCATTTCAAAATATTAAACACCATAACATGATTTTAGACATAACTCCAAAATTCAATTCTAATATCTTACTGCTTTGAAATAAGGAGTATCATTTAATTTTTATTGGATTTAGTTTAAACAAGATATAATTATCAAATAATAGCATATATTTATAGTACATATTCAAAATGTTATTGATTCAAACGTATAATTATTTTATTTCCTAGGTTGATTTGTACTATATTTGTCTTAATAGTGTTGCTTTTTATGTTTTTCTCAAGTGGAAACAACTTGACATTTTAGACATGAAGGAATACTTGCTCTTGGGAAATAACACTTTCCTTAAAATATAATTGTTTATTTACTTTTAATTAAATATTTAATACACAGAGATTTATATCATTATAATCTTTAATGAAAATAAATGTCTATTAAAGGCCTACTATGTGCCAGGTATTTTGCTAGTTAGTGTCATAAGAATTAAAAATAAGGTTCGGGATCTGCTCCACAAAGCTTAACATCCAGTAGGGGAGATTAAATATAATAATAAAACATTTCACTAATGGAAGAATGAAATTCCCTGTGGGAAGCCCCAAAATGAGAGACCTGAATAGTGACTGAAAATTATCCTGGAAAGGTTAAAGGAGAATTAATCATTTGAGCTGTGTTTTTTTGTTTTGTTTTGTTTTAAAGATTTTATTTGTTTATTTTAGGGAAAGAAGGTGTGAGCAGGGGTAGAGAGAGAGAGAGAACCCTCAAGCAGACTCCCTGCTGAGCATGGACCCTGGGATCATGACCTGAGCCAAAATCAAGAGTCGGACACTTAACGGACTGAGCCACCCAGGCGGCGGTCATTTGAGCTGTGTTTTTAAAGTTTTAAAAGATTTCAAAAGGGGAGAGCATGGGAATGAAGAGAGAAGCAGTACAGTAAAGAGAACAGCTTAAGTTACAAGGGCATTGTCAAGGAAGTTAAGGGCACATTCAGCCGATCAAACTCCCCTTTTTCTGGAGTTTATGGTATACTAAGTGGAACAATGGAAAGGAAGCCACAAACAGTAGCGTGGTGACAAACCATCTAGATTCTTGAATGCTAGCCAAGAAGTTTAGGTTTCCTTGTTGAAAAACTGAGTGTTTCACCTTTAGAAAATGTGTAACCTCATCAGGGTGTAGAATAAATTGAGGGCAGGAGAAAATAGTGACAGAGAGACCAGTAAGAAGGCTGCAATAAGCTCTTGAATTCTTATAATGTCTTTGTGAAGGTAAAGTAGGGGAAATGTGTAAGAAACATTGATATGTCCTGTTCAAAGAGCCCCTAAGGACTGTATGGAATAGACTTGCAAATTCCCTCTCAATAAAGAAGTTGATTATTTAATCAGATGTCTTTCTACTTTTCACTCAAGAACCCTGATGAGTAGGGGGCAGAGCAAGATGGCAGAGGAGTAGGAGACCTAGATTTCATCTGGTCTCAGGAATTCAGCTGAATAGGGATCAAACCATTTTGAACACCTACGAACTCAACAGGAAATTGAAGAGGAGAGTAGCAACAACTCTCTGAACAGAGAAGCAACCACTTACTGGAAGGTAGGACGTGCGGAGAAGTGAATCCAAGGCGATATTCGGGAGGATAGACGGCGGGGGAGGGGCCTCCATCGGCCACTTCTGGCAAGTGATAGAGCCGTGGAGCACAAAATCGGAACTTTTAGAAGTTGGCTCCACTGAGGGACGTCGCTCGCTCCAGTGGCTAAGCAGGGGTGGAATCCTCCCGGGACAGTGTGGTCTCAGGATCCTTGGGGTCACAGAAAGACCGGGGGTGCCTAAGTGCAGCAGGGCTCCCAGGTATCGGAGCGGGGAAGCCGGCTGCAGAGATAGAGCCGAGGCGCAGGCTCTCAGCTCGGGGTTGCCATAAACTGTGATCCGGGGCCCAGTTGGGCCACTGCTCCTCCAGCAGGGACCCAACAAGCAGCAAAGCCGGGGAGACTCCCCTTTCTACCCCCGGAAGAGCCGCGCGGGAACACACCACAGGGATCTGCTGGGTTTGGAGACTCCACACAGGGTCGGGTGCCAGAGACAAACACTCAGTCAGAGGCCGGGTGAGCACGGAGTGCGGCCGGAGACCAGGGAGATGGGAGTGACTGACTGCTTTTCTCAGGGGGCGCACTGAGGAGCAGGGCCCCGAGTTCTCAACTCCTCTGGGTGGAGATTGGGAGGCCACCATTTTCACCCTGGCAGAGAGTGGGAGGCCACCATTTTCACCCTGGTCCTCCAAAGCTGTACTGAGAGCTTGCAGGGAACAAAAGCTCCTGAGAGCAAACCCGAGCAGCTTGCTTAGACCAGACCGACAAGGGCGGGGCAATTCAGCCTCCGGCAAAGACATTTGGGAACCACGGCAACAGGCCCCTCCCCCAGAAGATCAGCACGAACAGCCCGCAAGCCAAGACCAAGTTTACCGATCAAGGAGAACAGGAGAACTCCAGCGCTAGGGGAATACTGCACATAGAATTCATGACTTTTTTTTTTACCATGATTCATTAGTTCATCAAAGTTAATTTTTTAACTGTTTTTTTATTTTTATTTTTCCCTTTTTAAACCAACATCTTATCAATCCCTTTAAAAAAAAACATTTTTTATTTTTCATTTTTAGAGTAATATTTAATCCCTTCATAGTAGTTACCTTTATTTTTGACATATATATATAAGTTGTTCTCTCTTTAAAATTTTGAGATACAGTTTCTACTTTTTTTTTTTTAAAGATTTTATTTATTTGAGAGGAGGGGAGAGAGAGAGAGAGAGAGAGAGAGGACAAGCAGGGGGGAGGGTCAGAGGGAGAAGCAGACTCCCCGCAGACTCCCCGCTGAGCAGGGACCCCTACGTGGGGCTCGATCCTGGGACCCTGGGATCACGACCTGAGTTGAAGGCACATGCTTCACCGACTGAGCCACCCAGGCGCCCTGAGATACAGTTTCTTCTAACAGATCAAAATATACCCTAAATCACTAGTGTATGGCTTTGTTCTAGTCTCCTGCCTGATCACATTCTCTCCTTTTTTTTTTTTAAATCTTTCTTTTTTCAAACAACTTATCAATTCCTTTTATACAATCTTTTATAATTTTCATCTTTACAGTCATCTTCCATCCCTTCATTGTATCAACCCTTATTTTGTACATGTATGTCTTTCTTCCTTTAAAATTTTAGGAGGCACTTTCTTCTAACAGACCAAAATACGTCCAAAATCTAGTGTGTGGCACTGATCTATTCACTAGCCTGATCATATTTGATCATATTCTGCTTTTTTTGTATTGTTCTGTTTTTGTTTTTATCTTTTTTTTTCTCTTTTTTCTTTCTTTCCCTTTCTTTTCCCCTGGTTTCAGGTCTTTTCTGATTTGTATAGAGTATATTTGCTGGGGACATTGTTAACCTGTTAGCATTTTGTTCTCTCATTTATCTGTTCTCCTCTGGACAAAATGACAAGACAAAAAAAATCACCTCAGCAAAAAGAACAAGAGGTAGTACCGTCTGCCAGGGACCTACTCAATATGGACATTAGTATGATGTCGGACCTAGAGTTCAGAATCATGACTTTAAAGATACAAGCTGGGCTTGAAAAAAGTGTGGAAGTTATTAAAGAAACCCTTTCTGGAGAAATAAAAGAACCAAAATCTAACCAAATGATGGAAAATAAAGAGGCTGAGAAAAAGAGAAACAACTACAGGATCAAGAGGGCAGAATTCAAGAGATAAGTGATACAATAAGACGAAACAACATTAGAATAATTGGGATCCCAGAAGAAGAAGAAAGAGAGAGAGGGGCAGAAGGTATATTGGAGCAAATAATAGCAGAAGACTTCCCTCATATGAGGAAGGAAACAGGCATCAAAATCCAGGAGGCACAGAGAACCCCTCTCAAAATCAATAATAATAGGTCAACACCCCAACATCTAATAGTAAAACTTACGAGTCTCAGAGACAAAGAGAAAATCCTGAAAGCAGCTCGGGAGAATAAATATGTAACCTACAATGGTAGAAATATTAGACTGGCAACAGACCTATCCACAGAGACCTGGCAGGCCTGAAAGGAGTGGCAAGATATCTTCAGAGCACTAAACGGGAAAAATGCAGCCAAGAATACTATATCCAGCAAGGTTGTCATTGAAAATAGAAGGAGAGGTAAAAAGCTTCCAGAACAAACAAAAACTAAAGGAATTTGCAAACACGAAACCAGCCCTCCAAGAAATATTGAATGGGGTCCTCTAAGCCAAGAGAGAGCCTAAAAGCAGCATAGATCAAAAAGGAACACACACAATATACAGTCACAGTCACCTTACAGGCAATACAATGGCACTAAATTGATACCTTTCAATAGTTACCCTGAATGTAAATGGGCTAAATGCCCCAATCAAAAGACACAGGCTATCAGATTGGATTAAAAAACAAGACCCATCCATATACTATCTGCAAGAGACTCATTTTAGACCCAAAGACACCCCACATTGAAAGTGAGGGGGTGGAAAACCATTTACCATACTAATGGACACC